GCCCAGGTTCCCCTGAGAGGAGGAGCGGCATGAGGAAGGCCTGCTAGGAGCACGTGAGCCGCAAGAACAGGCCCGGCAAATGGAAACGCCTGTTTTGGCATCGCAAACAGTCCAATTCCCTACCCATGGACCCGAGCACCACCACATCGGGGGAGAAGAACCGCAGCCCTGGGCCAGGCAGGCCCCAGCATCTTGGCTAAAACCCAGCCTGAGGGGCCCTCTGACCCTGTTCATACTCACACCAGGCCCAGCTTCAGTGCGTACAGGAAGAGGGCGTTCATGGCCACGTTCAGGAGATTGGCTGCGACTCCTGTCACCACCTGAGGCAAGATGATGGCCTGGAAGGAAGAGCGAGTCTCTTTGGAAACGGTTTCCCAGATCCAATCCCTTGGCCAGTTCAGGCGCCCAGCAGCCATTTCTAACCATAACCGCCTCATTGGGGAGGGAATGAAGCCACCGATAGGGCCCTGGGAGGCAGATGGCTCCTGAGCAGTCTTCAGCCGGAAGACAGTGTTGGAGGTGAAGAAGAGACGTGAAGGCAGCAAAACCTGCCTTTTGGGAGGCCAACAGCCACTGAAGTCAGCTATTAGCGCACAGCGTTCCTCACAGGGCGGGGACGTGGCTTCCCTCAGCCCCTCCAAGGCCACGAAAGGCGCAGACTCGCCTCTGCGGCCCAGGAGGCCTCGACAGCTCCCTCTGGAGCTCTCCAAAGCAGCTCTGAGCTTGGACGCGGGACAGCACATGGCAGGAGACGCCGCGCTCCCACCGCTCTACGGGGCTGACGGGAGACAAGCTCCCCGTTCCGTGTCCCCCAGGGAGCTGGGATCCTTTGCTTCCAGGAGGGTCTCAGAAGCCCATTTCCCTCTGCGTCCCACAGCCCAGCTAGCCAGCAGCGACAGTACCTGGCTTTGCAAGTATCTTGTCTGCAGCTGGTACAGAAACGCGGCCTGCAAGACAGAGAGAGAATTGGGTTCCGTTCCGTTCGCGCCGCCTTGACGCCGGCCAGGGCTCCCCACAAATTACGTCTGGTCATAACTTAGGGGGGACGCCGGAGTTAGAGACACCCCCGTCAGTTCTGGGCCGGGGGGGAGGCGGTTACAATCAAGATCACAGAGAACAAGATTCCGCTCTTCTTCACACGCCCCCCCCCACAGCACCGCTCAGCCACGAACGTCAGCAAAGACTGCACAGGCGAGCGGTGGCCTTTCCTCCACCGGGCACCCAACCACGCCCGTCCTGCGGGGATGGCGTGAAGCTCTCTGAACAGCAGAGGTGCCCCCACGCCGGCCCAAAGCCCCAGCACCCCTGGAGCAGAACTATGTCAGGAATGCTCCTGGTCCAACCCAGGCCGGTTCTGACCCCAGCCACGAACGTCAGCAAAGACTGCACAGGCGAGCGGTGGCCTTTCCTCCACCGGGCACCCAACCACGCCCGTCCTGCGGGGATGGCGTGAAGCTCTCTGAACAGCAGAGGTGCCCCCACGCCGGCCCAAAGCCCCAGCACCCCTGGAGCAGAACTATGTCAGGAATGCTCCTGGTCCAACCCAGGCCGGTTCTGACCCCTTGCCAGAAGCCTGGCAGCTACTAACAGGTGTGAAACCAAGCAGATGGCTGGCGCCTAGATCTTTCACCTGAAACTATTGTGCATGGAGACCTCACGTCCCAGTGCTCCTGACAGATAACTCAACAGGCAAGAGTGGTGCCAGCCAAACTACAGATCACAGCGTGCAGCGTCAGTCCGAGTGACAAGAGGGGAGGCTGCCTGGTGGGACCGGTATGCTGGGTCGGCTGTATTAAAGCTTAAGATGACACATTAACACCCGGAGGTCACACAGGTCCCTTGTGGGGAGCACATCCCATGACGCCGTGAGGTCATGCGCACAGGAACCTTCGCGGCAACTTACGGGAAGTGCTGGGATAAAGATCATCACATAAATCTGGGTTAACCTGGAAAAAACAATGACATTTCCATCCAGTTCACAGCCCAGTAAGAACCACGCGACCCAAGTGTGCGCCCACAATTACACTTCCCTTAGCAGGTGGCCTCGTCCGGAAACCCACCCGCGGCTCCTCGCCCACAGGGACAAACAGGGGGCAGGTCCTTGGAAAACCGTCTGGCGTCTGAGCAGGGTTTTCTCTTTGCTCCGCGCTGGAGACGAGTGCGGGAGTGAACTCCCAGCCGCCTACAGTCTGCGCCAGGCACAGGGAAGGCGTAGCGGGGGCACCGGCCACGCCAGTGCTCCTACCCCCAGCAAGCTGACTCCATCATGACCTGGGAGGGCCACCTAAGGGCTGACGGGTGTGGCGCACAAGTGGCGCGTTCCACTATGGTCTACGGAGGGAGGGAAGTCTGATTTTTTGGCTCTTCAGATTGACTTGGCTTGCCATTAGGGTTACCAGGTAGCTTCAGAAAAAATACCAGACACACTTGATCAGGGGAAGAGGGGGGGAGAGCGGGACTGGCCGGGGGGGGACAGGA